TGCTGCTGGTGCTGCTGCTGCTGGGGGGCCCTCGCGCGGGCGCGACGCAGCAAGCGAAGTCGAGTCTGCGTCCAGGGGCGACGGCGGTGGCGCTGCTGCGAGTGGCGAGCCTGAGGGCGGCGCGGGCGAGGGCGGCAGCAGCAGCAGCGGCAGCAGCAGCAGCAGCAGCAGCGCGGGCGCGGGCCGCAGCGAGGCCGCGGCGCACGCAGCAGAGCGAAGGGGCCCCGCGGGCGCAGCGCGGGCAGCAGGTGGAGGGGCGGAGAGGGTCCAGGCGGGCCCCCAAGAGGCAGCCCAGCAAGCAGCGCAGCTGCAGCAAAAAGGGCACAAGGCCCACAGTGAGGGACACTGTGAAGGCCGCGCATGCAAACATGGGGACGGGAAGCAGGCGGGAGTGCAGCAGGAAGAAGAGCTGGAGGAAGCAGCAAATTCGGGAAAGCGCGGAGAGGCCGAAGTGGGAAAAGACGCAGCTGCGCGTCGGGGTGTACGGACTGCCCATGGGCCCGCTGCTGCTCGCCACTGCGTTCTTCGCCTTCACGTAGCAGTAGAGGGCGAACTCTGCGGCGACGAGGAGGCCGCTGCAGGCTGCTGCGAAGGCCAGCTCCGCGCAACCAGGCAGCAGCGTGTCCGGGTGCTGCTGCAGCACGCTGCGCAGCGCCAGCGCCGCAGCAGACCAGAAAAACAGAAAGTAGCCCCAGCAGAAGGCCAGCACCGCCCACGCGCAAGACGGAGTCCACCGCGTGGTCAGCGGCGGCAGGTCCTCGATGGACCCGTCCAGCCCTAACTCAACCACCTCTGCATGCGACAGCACGTCGTGCAGCAGCGAACGCCGAGTTCCGGCAGCAGAACTCATTCTGCACACCCCTCATTATTTGTCGACGCCGACAGGCCGCGAAAGCGCCATCGCTCGGGCCCAGGTGTACCGACACCTGCACCTCCACCTCCACAACGCGCCCCGGGCGCTCCAACCCCTCGATCCGCCTTCACACGCCAGACTTTCAATTCTACTTCGCTTCCATTTACAATTTGCCGCCCAACGGCGAGGCAAAACCCGACCTTTCGCACCGCCGCACCGCCCAGTTCCGCCTGCACCGCCCGCGGTGTCCTGACAGCCCCAGCGTCGCTTCCAACCTCTAGCCCTGCGCCACGAAAGTTAATTTCTCGTTTATATTCCGAAAACAAGATAACCTGAACTCGGAGCCGCAGGTGACCTGAGCAGAACTGCTGGGACCGATCACTGGGGGTGCATGCCGAGGTGAGTGAGTTGGGGCTCGCTGGTCGACCAGCGGCACAACCGCCACTGCAAACGGAAATAACCCAGATAGTTCTCCAGAAACGAAACAAATAATTGCCAAGTATTACTTTCGCGCACAATTTAGGAGACACAACGAAGATATTCCCGTGCAACTCCACTCCCCTTCAAAACGGACTGCTGCAACCCTAGCTGCCACAAACGGGAAAAAAGCGAGTAGAGTGAACTGAAATGAGACTTCAGATTTTCAGCTATCGACTCACGCCGCTCCTTAGAGGAAGGCACGCAGTGTGCAGACACCGCAACACCCCGTGGCAGTGCCCCCAGTGTCTCCCTCCTCAGCCCTTCACTTTCATTAGTTCTGCAACCACCTGGGCCTCCCCAGCCCTTCATAGTAACTCTGCGCTGCAGCCAAATGGCCCCGCGGCTGGCCCAGAGCCCCCCAGCGGCGGGGGACTGCCAGCCAGCACTGCAGGGGGCCCTTGAGGCCCCTTGTGGGGCCCCGCCCCACCCCTGAGGCGGCATAGGCTAATACAAGTTGCATGCGCTCGAAGAGCTCTTCAATTTATTTTGCGCATTGGCTAAATGAAGCTGCTGCTGCAGTGGCAACGCTCCCAGCAGGAAAGCCTTTGCTGCTCAGAACACAGGGATATATATAATATGTAATATGTATATATTATATATATATGTTTATTATATATATTTAAAGGCAGCAGCGCAAACTCGTTGCGAGCCAGTTGCTGCTGCTTGTTGCCTGCTCGTGGGCCCGGGCTGGGGTTTGGGGTCTAAGGTGTAAAGCCGAGGGTTTAGGGCTCGTAGAACTAGGGTTTAGGGTTTGCTGGCGAGGGTTTAGGGTTAGGGATCTTCTGTGCTTCTGTGGGCGAGGAGGAAGGAGCAACCCTAAACCCTTAGTTTGTTCTCTTCACAAACCCTTGGCGCAAACGTAAACCCTAAACCTCCAGCCTCCAAACCCTCTTCTAAACCCTAAATCAGAGAGATCGGTGAGATTCTGCAAAACACTGCAGAGGGGAATGCAGCAATTAAGCAGCAGCAGTGCGCACAAGAGGGCTCAAGAAGTGCAGCTGCGGCGAGTTAGGAACTGCCTAGCAAAGCTCAGCGCCGTGCTGCTGGTGCTGCCGTTGCTGCTGCTGCTGCTGCTGCTGTTTCTTCAGAACGGTGGCGGATCATTGTGCTGCAGCTGACTGGGCCGCAGCAGCTTCATTTCTCATTAAATTAAAAACTAAAAATGTCTCTGAGGCCCTCTGGCTTGGGGGGGCCCCAGCGCCTCAAGAGCAGCATCAGCCTATAAACACAAACTGCACTTCTCCTGCTGCAGCGCCGCTGCAGCAGCAATTCGTTACGAGGGACTTTTTGCTGCGCCAGCAGCAGATTAAGGCTTTTAGCCCCGCGCAGCTGAAGCAGCTTTGTTCAAAAGCGATTTCAGTGAAGTCCTGCTGCTGCGCAGTTAACGACTTGCTGCTTCTGTTAATTCCGACTTTCTTTGCCCCTCTCCCACCCGCCACTCGCCTCTGCGTTAACAGCTACTCGGCAAGCTGAGGGTTTGCTGCTGCGCTGCGCAGCGCGCGGGCCCCGTGGGGCGCAGCAGCAGCTGCTGCTGCTGCAGCTGCTGCTGCAGTTAGCGCGGCCGGGCCTGCGAGCGGGGCTGCAGGTAAAGCCGCGGAGCTGCCTCTGTGCTGCAGTCGAGGGGGCAATTGGGTCTTTAGAAAAGCCCTTTGTTTACTAAGGAGCTGGAGAGCAGCTAGACATGCGCTGAGGAACTCCCGCGGGAAGCAGCAGCAGCAGGAAGTGCAGCGAACGTGGAGAGCGCTGCGGACTGATGGAGCCTGGCCCTACTTGCCGGGCTGGAAGATATTTAACTAAATTGCAAGAAGTAACTGTGAAGTTGAACTAATTTCAAGCAAAGCGGGGAGATCAGGTAGCGCGGGGCGGCGCGAGGCCACGGCCGCGGTTAGTGGTGACGGCCGCAGAGCACGGAAGTGTGCGTTGCACGGCTTTGCAGCAACGCAGCCTTTATGTGAGTCCGTTACACACCGTCTTGTGCAATTTTCTGGAGAATTAAATGTTGAAACAAAGTGAACTGAAGGCCGATTGCAGCGTACGAACACCTAGCCGCAGGAGCAGCACCTCCCACAGTGCGGCACCAGCAACCACGAGCGCGTCGTCGCGTCTGTACACCTCGGAGCCGCCATTAAGTTGGCGAATTTGACGCGAAAAAACTGCCTTTTAGTGAAATTGGTTTTGCTTCCGCTGCTTCCGCGCTGTGGGTCCCGCGAGAGTGACTCTCGCGAGGTGAAATGTGCAGTTAGTTCGGCAGAAACGGCGGTCCGTGGCTGCTGGTCCAGGGCTGCGTCTGGGAAACAAAGGGGCGGGGGGGTTTGTGGGTTAAACGGCAGCCGAAGTACACTTGCTGCGGACTGCTGTTGCAAACGCAGCAGCAGCAACGGACAGCCCAGTGGGTTGGCTAGAGTGCGGTGGGTCAGAGGCTCTGCCGGCAGCGGCGTTGCTGCGTTTCATTTCCAGTGGTACGCGTAGGATGTTTTTATTTATGAATGGAAAACACATAAAGGAAGTTTGCAGATTTAAAAGTATGTCTCATTAGTTGGGCAGCTAGATTGGCGATCTCGTCGCTGGTGCTGGTGTTGCCAGTTGCTGCACAGCACAGGGAAGTAGCGCTGCTGCTGTTGCAGCAGTTGATCACGCTGCTGCGGCTCTGCGGCGCAGCAAAGACGGCGCAAGGCCCCATTGTCCCTTCTTTCCTGCAGTCGAATTCCTCGGTAACTGCGCCGTGGGCTTTGTAGTTCCGCGGTGGGCTATTAAGGGGCTTCACACGGCCTCGGCGCTGGGAGACCTTGAGAGCTGATCGCGCCTCTGCCGCCCCTCCGCCGCCTCC